AAATTATTCTACTATTCTGGTCTAATCCAATAATCAAATATGGACAATGTATATACTGAAATATAAAGGTTTTATTCAGATAAAGTATTCTTTTCCATTTTTAAATGAGAATTCAACTGTCAGAAGCTCTAGAACTGGTCTACTGGGGAGATTTGTATTTAGGGGGTGGAGCACAGGGATTTATTTTTTTAATCTATACAAAGCTTTAACATTTAATTTTTTTGGAGGAGGGGATGGGTTCCTACCAGATATTCAGGGATATACTAAATCTGGGGTTACCATTATACGGTTGGCACAAAGTCAACGCTCGAGTAGGAACTATAAATGTTTTCTTTAACTGTATGCCAAACTGAATAATCTCCCAGGGAAAAGAACCTCCTCCCCCTCCTGCCTTTCCCACCTCCTGCCCCTCCCCCACCAGCACTGCCTCCCTGCTGCGCAAAGAGCCCTTTGTCCTGCCCTGCACTTATCTAGCTGTTTGGCCATATTGACAGGCCAACTAAAGGCAGAATAAGCGAGCCAGTTTGCCATAAGCAGCTGGCAATTTGAAACAAAAATCTTCCTTTTCTCCTCAGACCAAGTCCTGCTGCAGGCGTCTCTGGCTCCTCCCATGCTTCCATCTATTTTTCAAACAGCACAGCAAGGAATTCTGCATTTTCCCTCAACTAGGTAGCACATCAGAAACTTGACTACCCATACAGAAACATTCTGAGTGAAGTCCTACATCTACTGTTTTTTACAGGCCAAGGAGTATCCTCAGGCTCAGGTGTATATACATGACTAACATGGCTGAGGAAATGATTATTACTTCAATCTGCCACCAAAACTCTTGAGAATGTTCATACTTCAAGGGAAGATAGAAGAGCACAGCTATCGGTCAGATCAAATCAAGTCATATATATCAGATAAAGACATCCAATAACCTTAGTGTTCTTTTAAAAATACTAAGCCATTATTCCAATAAGCAGAAAATTCCTTATCCCTGTCTTTATGTCAAAGATATTTAAAGTGGCCCTTACAGCTCTCCCTGAGGTATTCAGCAAACAAAATCAATATGATGGAAAAACTGAGTGAGGCAGGATGGGATTACAAATTCCTTGCTTGGTGAGAGTGGATATAAAGTAGACAGAGATTCTGCTTCATTGTTCCTTTTATCTCTCATAAGTGTTAGGATTTTAATATATTGTCAGAATAAGAATTCTCTAAAGCAATGCTTTCCAACACACTGCCCCCCCCCCATGTTATGGGGTATCTACTCAATTCAGAATGAATATACAACAGAATATTTTTCATAAGACTAACTGGTTAAACAAAATATGTACTGAGAAATTACAGAAATGATATTCTATCAACCTCTCATGAACTACCCTGAGTCTTCACCACAAGAAAAGTCACTGCATCAAGGTTAAAAATGCCATTTCACCATATACTTTGGAATTTTGGGAGCAAGGAATGGTGTCAATCGCTATTTATCATAGGTACATCATACTTTGAGGAGTGACTGAATTTTTTTTTAACAAATAACCACCAGTATTAGTAAATATATAATCTTACAGTTTTGCAGAGCCAAAGTTTCGTTTGTCCTAAATAACAAAAAAGGAAAACTTTATTTTATTCATGAGCCACTTTTTCACTGGTAAGATGTATCCAACAATCACTGACTGTCCTTAGCTTTTGCCCAATATTTCATGAATTACTTGAATATGAAGAGGATAAAGTAAAAGTGGTTGTATGCACATCTGCATTTTGAACAGTGTTATTTTCCTGTCCAAAGGGAAAAAAAGAAGTGGCCATCCTCCTCCAGGAAGGCCAAAATAAATCCCAAAAGTATGTACATTTCTGGACACAAAACACTGTCAGTAGACAGTAAAAATTTCAAGCATGCTGGTTAAATAAATTCTATGAAAAGGTCCTCTACGCTCTTAAGGAAATGATCTTACGTTTAGATCTCAAAGGGGTTCCAAACAGGAAATACAAGTTAAAAGCTATTATTTCATAAGGTAGCTTTCATATAATAACTTAGACATTTGCATCTATGTTAAACAGCCAGTATGAGTGACATCATACTTATCTGATACATCTTTTATATGTGATAGTAATAAGAATTAAAACCACCTAAAACGTTATCCATTAAAGGTTCTGTTTCATTAGTCCACTTGCAACATTGAAAGACAATGCACGCAACATTTATGAATGACAAAACTCATTTCCATTCTTTCTGGTTCCCGCCACAAACGCCAGAGTCATACTACACTTTATAGATGACTGGGTTCATTTACACAAAAGTGAACATGCAAAAATTCTGAAGGAAAAAAAATATATATAGGACGCCTGAGTCTTAGGGGGAGACAATAACGGGCATCTGTTAAGTATCGGCTATAACTGATGGTGTATCGGGCTGCTGATTCTCCTTCAAGTACTTCCATACTCAACAAACTGTTCAGCTTAATCAGAGATCTTCCTAAGCTGTGGGAACTGTGGAAGAAGAAAGACTACATTAGGGGCCTAGAGGCTATCATCTCAAGTATCCTGTATACTAGATTTATTCAATTTCTGAGTATTCCTTCTAGTCTGTCATATTTCAAATGGATCACTGTCAAACATATACATCCTTGTGATCTTAAGACAAGTATACTCAACACATAATTAATCAATATCACAGGTCAAATTCTAAAGAAATAATCTAATTTGAAGAAATCTATTACTAACACAGAAAACAAGAAAACACTTGATATTTATATATAGAAATCATTCTCCAAAGGACAGTTGTTTTTAGAGTTTAAGACCCCAAATATGGTAAAATGTTTAGCAAAACATCTGTTCAATAAGGTAAATATGGTCTAGTAACTGGAAGAAGACATACAAATGAAGTATTAAAATTGATTTAATGATAAAAAAGATGGAGGAAACCATGCCAGCTGCAGAAAAATCAACTGATATCTTCCCTATTCTGGTTCTCAGGAAGATCCTTAAATGCTTATTACCTTGGTTTTAAAAGGATTGAAAAATTAAAACTCAAATGGAACTTCTGGTCCTATCCAAGCAAAATCCCCAGATTAAAACCAAAAATCTGCCACAAAAACCAAACATAAGAGTCTTTAACTACGATCCACTTTCCAAATGCTGATAACCCTAAGTGGGTAGAAGGTTGTGAATTGCTAATTCTCATTTCCCCACCAATAAAATGCGAACCAGCAGTGAAAATTCCCAGGAAAGCCAGGCTTCCGCCTTAGCCCTAAGCAGCCATTGCCCAAGTGCAGCTCCCTGCAGCCCACAGCGTTAATGGAGGCTGCACTGCTGTCCTTCCCTGGAGACGGCAGCCAGCGCTGCTCAAGCTTCTCACGTAGCAACCAGAGCTCCAGAGCCAGCAGCTGCTGCTGCCGTGTATACTCACCCCTGTGATCCAACCCAAAGGAGCAACCTGCTTCTTACCCCACCCCCACTCCTTACACATTTTTTTTTTTTGGACCAGTGCTCCATGCCAGAAGGGCTGGAATTATGCCTTTAGAAAGCAACAATCCTAAGGTCACCCTTTTCGTTTTAACTGTGGCTTTTTATTAGAAAAATCAACATTTACCAAATTCCAAATATACACTTAATAAGGCAGCAATTTAGGAGTGAAGATTAACCTTTAGTCTTTAAAAGGCCAATTTGCTAAACATTCTCTTTACAGTCAAATTTAAATTTGCAGTTAAAGACAGAAGCTTGTGTTGTGTCCTACCAAAGGACATAATCATTTTTCTACATAGTGACATCCTGAGTAAACCTTTAAGATTCTAATCCCATACGAGCCAGAATTTTTGGCTATAGAAGAAAACTAATGATCCTCCTGAAAAAAACCGGTAGAAATCTAATAAAAAAATTTCCTGTCCACCAAGAGGCCCAGAAACCTCTGAAAATTTGAGGTTTACTAGCTCAGATTCCACACACCTCAAATTACCACTTCTAATTTTCCTCTCAGAGTGACCTACAAACATTGATATAAAACTAATCAAGAAAATTTCCCAAATAGGGGGTACACAGTCTCTTGAAAAGCCCAGAACACTCAACTCAGCCGGATCCACCCTAATCACAGTGTTGCTATGTAATATGTAACATCTGCCCAACAAAAATGTTAATATGACCTTGGTCATAAATATGTCATTTAAATGCAACTCGTTTCATCAAGTGATAAAGGAAATTTGCAGAGGATCTGGGGATTCTTTTAGTACTATGAGAATGGGGAAAACTGGAAAAATAAACTAAGTATAGACAAAGCCCAATGCAACCCAGAGGTCTGGGCAAGAAAAGAGTTAGTGATGAACACATTGCACAAGTAACATGAGAAAGCAGAAAATGCAGGTCATACACGCACCCCTGACCCAGACCAGCAGAGGTGGCTGCAGCATCAGTATCCAAGGGAAAGACCAGTTATTCCCAAGAAGTGAGACGAGCAAAGGAGCTCTGTAGAATAAATTAGCATAGAAGGGGCTTTCCCAACAGAAACTTTCCCTCTCACGCGATTCACCTACTTAAAAACCAAGGTTTTTTTCTCACCACCATTCACTTCGCATCCCTGGCTTCCACGCAAAGGGGAAGAGAATTCATAAACGCTACATTTTTCTGCCTTTAAAGACGTTCGCAAATGATCGCTCTGCACGCCCAAGGCAGGGAAAACGACACAATCTGGCTCAACTCCAAGCTAGAACCCTACAAATTCAGTGAGGCCATCTCAGATATACTGGGGCTTACGCCACTGAGAGCCCAAGAATGTGAGGTGGGGGTGGCGAAGGTAATGTCCTCAGTGTGGGAAACGAAGCAATCATCTGCGATGGGGACCCCAGGATGAGGGGGAAGGCGTCCAGGAACATTCGGGGGTGGGGTGGGGAGATCGAAGACCCCCCCCCCCGAGGGATCAGATTTGTCACAAGGCCGCGCGAACGGGAGTGGGGGTGGGGTTTGGGGAGGGGAAAAAAAGTGTGCCTGTGTATTTTGAGAGGAGAGCAGCGAGAGGCCTATCCTTAAGTAAAAGGTAAACGTGGAGTAGGCAGTTCCCAGGAAAAGGGGTGAAGAGGCCTGGGGGGAGGGGAAGCGTCCTGACCCAGGAAAGACGTGAAAAGGGTAGTGGGGTCGACGAGATTACGGATGGGGCCTCTCGGCCTGGGAAAGGGGTGCAACGGTGTGTGGGGGGCGGCGAGGGGGATGAGAAGGGGCAGCATCCTCCTACTGAGAGCCTGGGGAGGGTCAGGCCCACGTCCCGAGAGCAAGCGCGGGGAGACGGAGGAGGTGACCCTTCCCTCCCCCGGGGCCGGTCGTGAGGGTAAGTCTCTCTTTTCTGTTGGACCCTTACCTTGTCCCAGGCCTGGGCCCGGGCTGCGGCGCACGGCACTCCCGAGAGGCAGCAGGACTCGAGTTAGGCCCAACGCGGCGCCACGGCGTTTCCTGGCCGGGAATGGCCCGTACCCGTGAGGTGGGGGTGGGGGGCAGAAAGGCGGAGCGAGCCAAAGGCGGGGAGGGGGAAGGGCCAAGGAAGGAGGGGGGGCCGGCACTACAGTGTTGGCGGACTGGCGGGACTGGGGCTGCGTGAGTCTCTGAGCGCAGGCGGGCGGCGGCCGCCCCTCCCCCGGCGGCGGCGGCGGCGGCGGTAGCAGCTCACTCAGCCCGCTGCCCGAGCGGAAACGCCACTGACCGCACGGGGATTCCCAGCGCCGGCGCCAGGGGCACCCGGGACACGCCCCCTCCCGCCGCGCCATTGGCCCCTCCGCCCACCGCCCCGCACCCATTGGCCAACTCGCTGCCAATCAGCGGAAGCCGCCGGGGCCACCTAGAGAAGAGGCTGTGCTCTGGGGCTCCGGCTCCTCAGAGAGCCTCGGCTAGGTAGGGGAGCGGAACTCTGGTGGGAGGGGGTCCGGCGGATTGGTGGGGGGATGGGTGGCTGAGGTCGTCTGGCTGGTAGTTGGGGGTCGCCTTCCCCGGCGGGAAGACGGGAGCATAGCGCTTGTTACGCTGAAAGGGAAAGAGGTGGTCAGAGGCAGGCGGGAATGCGGCCCGCCTTGCGGCAACCGAAGGGGGAGGGAGAAGGGAGCGGAAAAGGCTCGAATCTGGACGGAGCCATTGCTCCTGCAGAGGGCGGAGCGCTTCCGGCTGTTATCTTGTCACTGATTGGTTGCTGCTCCTCCCGCCGTGTGTGAAAACACAAATGGCGTGTTTTGGTTGGAGTAAAGCGCCTGTCAGTTACAGCCTCGGGAGTGCGCAGCCGCCTAGGGACTCTCGCATTGCCCCCTGGGTGGGTGCTTAGGTAGGTAGGGTGGAGAGAGACTTGGACGGGCAGGCGCGGTCGGCCTCCCACGGGGAGGTGGGGGTGGGTGGGAAGGCGGGGGGGGTCAGTGAAAGTGGCTTCGCGCGGGCGTCCTACCACCCTCCCCTTCCTTCGGGGGAGTCGGTTTACCCGCCGCCTGCTTGGCTTCGGCAGCTGATTGGCTGCTGAAGCCCAGGGAACGGCCCCTTGTTATTGGCTCGGGTCCCAACTGAGCGAAACCACTGCGCGGGTCGGCGGGGAGGCGGTCGTTGGTACGGTCCTCCCCGAGGCCCAGCGCCGCAGTGTCTGGCCCCGCGCCCCTGCGCAACGTGGCAGGAAGCGCGCGCTGGAGGTGGGGGCGGGCTGCTGGGCCGAGGATTCTGGGTGGTGGCGATTGCGGCTCCGCCCTGGGCACCCGCTGCCTGAAGGACAACACTAGCCCGACCTGCTCCTGGACCCGTGGGGCTGAAGGGAGGAGTGGGGGTCGGTGCCGTTGGTTTGTGGGTGGGAGGTGCTTGTTCTCCAAAAATCGGCGCGAGCTGCAATCCTGAGGTGCCTGCAGTGGAGGAGGCGGAGAGGAGGCCGCACCCTTCTCAGCAGGGGGAGGGGAGTGCCGCAATACCTTTATGGGAGTTCTCTACTGCCTCCTGTCTCCTAAGGACCGCCCTGGGCCTAGAAGAATCCCTCCCTCCCCCGCGATCTCGTCATCGCCGCCTCCATGTCGAGTCTCTCCTCGATTATGGGCGGGTTTCTTTTGCCCAGGCTTAACCTTGTTCCTGGGCGTTGTCCTGCAGGGGGATCGAGCAGGTATTAGATTTAGAGGACGAACCCAATTTCTTTATCTTCCCACAGACTTGAGTTTGTGTCACAAAATTATAATAGGGGTGGTGGAGTGAAATGAAGTCCATGCAACATCTGGGACTGATTCTATGCAGCGAGACTGCGTGTTACTACTTCTTAACATCCTTTTGTTGCATTTTTTTTTCCAGGAGATAAGTTAAAAGCTTAATCTCCTGAGGTTTATACTTTCCCCATTTGAGACAGTTGAGAAATAGGTTAAAGGCATGATCTCTTGAGTTCCCTATTTGACACCGTTGCTACACCGCCAAAACAGAGCATCTTAGATTAGATCTTAAAAATTTAATTCCCCACCCTTGCATTCTCAGAGTTAGGCCTTTTAGCAACTCTCACTCATACTTTCAGCCCATTTTCTGTTTGCTGTACTTGCTCTTCCTGTCCCAGTCATACCATTGGCTTTCTCTCCTGTTTTTGGTATCCCGGTGAGTCATGAAACCAGACAGGTTTCACCACCAATTTAGGCTACCCAACTCGAGCATAGGCTTCACTCTTGCCCAGCAATGCGTTTATTCCTCTTTTATGGATATTCTTGAATCCTTACCTTGATGTTCATTTAATTTTTTAACCTCAGCTGGGATTCTGCTGACCCTCTTCATAGTCCAGATGATCTTGACTACTGCTTTGCTGAGAATTGGACGTGAGGTTCAGCAACATGTCTTTTATATCCTTAGAATACCTTTAAATCTATTTTCATTGATATGCTCATCAGTAATCGAGCTCAGTTGCCATAAGGCTAGGATCCTCCGAACTAGTATCTCTTGTCTCTGGTATCTGCTGATACAACTTTCCCGTGTCCAGGACAGTTGTTCTCATACAAAGATACAGCATGGAAGTAACTGATCCAACTCCTTTCCTGGCTGGTAACTACCGACAGGATGAATTCCATCATCACAAACGTGATGTACAAGGTCCTTCAGTGGACTAACCTCATCTTACCAGCCTTTTTGTTTGTGACAGTTTTCCACATACACACCCAAACAACCTTATCAGACCTCTTTGGTTCCTCCTGGAATGCTACCCTTGATCCTTACCCTTCCAATAAAGACTCTTAAATACCATCTCCCCTGTGATCTTGCTTCTGTGATCTGTGCTTTAAGCCGGAATCCCCTTTCTCTTGGTCCCACAGCAAGTTGAATCATAGCACTTCTCAGATGGTTGTCACTGCTTGTTTAAATTCTCTTAACTATTCTGAACTGCTTGTTGAGTGTTGTACCTAAGTTCCTAGCATATTCCTTGATGGCTAGCCAACCTTAAACGGAGTGACTTGTAGATGTCTTTATAAGGTTTGATGGATTGTCCTCTGTTAACACTTCTGTGTGTGCTTGCTAGTGTTCTAGATTAGCACTGTCCAGTAGAAGATTCTGCAGTGATGGAAATGTTCTAATATAGTGTGCTATCTGATATGATGGCCACTAACCATATTCTTGAGCCCTGGACATGTGGCAGTTGTGACTAAGGAACTGAATTTTAAATTACTGCTGTGGACAGTGAGGCTCTAGCTATAGATTTGTGAATTGCAGAATACTTAATGTTGTTCATTCACTCAGTTGTGTCCGACTCTTTGCGACCCCATGGACTGCTCCACACCAGGCTTCCCTGCCCTTCGCCATCTCTGGGAGCTTGCTCAAACTCTTGTCCATTGAGTCGGTGATGCCATCCGACCATGTCGTCCTCTGTCATCCCCTTCTCCTGCCTTCGTTCTTTATATGGAGATGGATAATTTTCTCTTCATACAGAGCAGGAAGGAGCCTCTGGCACGTTTAGGTTCCCCCCACACCACCCCGAGCTCCTGCCAGGTTGGTTGGTGGTTTGGCAGGTTTTAATACTAGATTGGCCAAAAAGTTCATCTGGGCTTTTCATATGATACGGAAAAACCCAAATGAACTTTTTGGCCAACCCAATATCTATTTGTATTCTTCTCGTGCTCAGTTGCTCAGTCATGTCTGACTTCGCAACCCGATGGACTGTAGCCCACCAGGCTTCCCTGTCCATGGGATTTTTCAGGCAAGGATACTGGAGCAGGTTGCCATTTCCTGACAGCTAAATCCAGAAAACCATTTCTAAAGATAAACCTGCCTTGAACAATGTTGAGAAAGCAAGTGTTGATGTGTTTTGAGTTTCAAAAAATAATACATAATGAATTTTAGGAAAGTGGGATTACATTAAACCATAATGACGACATAGGTTTAGTGAGGAATAGGACTTTAAAAGGAAAGTTTTTTAACTTAAAATTTTTCCCTAAAATATGAGAAGTGCACATAATTGGCTTGCTGTTTAATGCAGACTCCCAGTCTCACACCCAGAGATTCTGAATTCAGTTAAGATTGGTGGGGGGCATTAGAATTCTGTGTCTTTTATATCCTTCCGATGTTGGTAGGCCGGAAATCACACTATAAATACGGTCCTGTGGGGCTACAGTATGCCTGTCTTTAATAGTTTTAGAAGCTTATAGGTCAGATTGTTTTGTTTTTATTTTAGAAGGAATGTTAAACTATTCCAAGTAAATTTTTTTTTAGAAGTTTTCTTTTTTGTCTATTTTCCCACTACATGCATTCCTCAAGGATATGGATTTGTTTTTGATTCCCCGGTGCCTGAACCTAGAGCCGAGTACTCAATAAATGTTTTTATTGACTTATATATGAAATTGACTTTCAGATAAGAGTTTTAAATCCATAGAAACAATGCTCCTTTTACAGAGAAGCTTTAGGATTATACTTAACTCAAATTACCTAATATTCTATTCATAAAGGAAACTGATGCCTCATGGTCTCTGAATACATTTGTCGGCCATTTAGCTCTTCCTTGGGTTTCCTGTACAAACCCTTGCACTTAGCCTCTTCCTGTGCTTGACTTCCTTAGACTTTTATTATAATTTTTTAAACAAACCCACTACTTAGCTCCTTTTGAAGTAAAGCCATATTATTATACTCCTAGGACAAAAATTGAGTAGAATGAAAACATACTTGCATGAGAGAATTGAAGGTTTTGTAAATGCTCTTAATTTTTTTAAAAGATTTATAAAATTTGAACATAAATGTTTCTATCATTTTTTTTTGTGCACAGAAGAGGTATGGTAAATTAAGGTTTGCAACTGTTAATCCAAAATGTGATAGGGAACAGCATCAGGAGGGTAAGACTAGTTTGTTTTAAGCAGCATGTGAGATTTTAATTCACCAAATATTGGGAGCACAGAGTCTTAACACCAGACCACCAAGGAAGTTCATAGGCCAGCCTTAATTATAGAACACATCGTTAGGTCATGTACCCAGAAGTCTGGTACTTTAGATTGCAGACTGAGGATTGTTGATTCAGTTACCTCATAGTGTACTACTTTATATTGGAGGATGTATTACTCCAGAAGGCTTTTTCTTATCCATGACCCGCCATGGAGTCTTGATGGAAGAGTGAGAAACTGGAATATTAGAGAACTGTTAATGCATGGAATAAAATATTTAGATTTATTTTATGTAGGCCAGAGTTGAACTTACTTATACATGATATCATGGGGTATACCTTACTGGTGACTAGAGAGACTATTTCTGCCTCTCTGATTATATCGAAAGTCATGGTTACATTTAATAATCCTACTTTCCAGCT